GAATGAACATATTGTAGTTTTTCATGGAAGTGCTGTGCATGAAGTATGCTTTTTAAGGTTGCGAGGAATTTCATTCTGATTTAGTGTGTATGTGTGTGAATATTAAGAGGCCTTGTTTACTGTCTGGGTGATGTAGCGGGGAGACAATCTTGCATCTCAGGTAATGGATCTTTTATGTGAGCAGGAGAGTGAACACTCTATTTCCTCAGATGTTTCTTCCAGTGAACAGTAAAAGCTATTTTGAGCTAATGTCATGGTTTGACACTGGCACAATGCCAGCACCCCCATGAAATTGCAACCTCTCAATTGAATGCTGTGAAATGCGATCGAGAACAGAGCAAAGCAGGCCAAAGCTCTTAATAACAAGGAAAAAAAACCAAACTTTATTAAGCTACTACTATGAAAGGAAAAAGAAAGAAAAACACACACAAAATCCAAAATGAAAACCTTTCAAAGCATTCCTCCTCCCACCACACAACTCCAATAAACCACAGTGAGACACGACTTGGACCCTTAATCAACTATTAACTATTCACCCTTCAATATAATCAATACTAAGTCCATCAGGGGAGAGAGGAGTCTCCCTTGCACCATAGACCCCCAGGAAACACAGCTGCCACTTCTTGTGTTTCCATGTCACACATGGCACCGCCCGGAGAAAAAGTTTGCCATGGTAACACTCTCCTTTCCATGCACAGTGCTCTCACCACCAATGCATGGGTGGACAGACTGCTTTTAGGATTTTTCCTTTCAAGGATGCTTTACCAAGAGGGGAAAAAACAACAGTTCGGTTTTTTATTTCTTGGGACCACAGTCCCATTTTCTTCCTCCCCTGGGGCCGAAGGTCTCAGGAACAGAGATCTTCTTTTCTTCTTCTCTGAAGACAGAAGGCACCATCACCAACCTCCCCAACTTTTCTCTGTTCCCTCCTCTCCTGTCTTTTCTCAGCTGCTGAAGCAGTTCTCTTGGCTCACCAGCATTCTCCTAAAATACAGTCTCTCTTGGAGGAAAAAATCAGTTCAGTCTATCGCTAACAAGAAAAAGTCCAGCCAAAAGCCACTCCATCATCTTCACCCCCAATCTTCTTTCCTTAACCCAGGCTGTCTCTCTTCCTCTCTTTCAAACTGAGGAGGAATAATGTTTTCACAAAGCTTTCATTTCTCAAGGAAGGGTTAAAAGTCCCGACTCCCTGGATGGCTCGCTGCCCGGATCTCCAGCTCCCAAGGCTGGGCACCTTGCGCCCCCCCCCCCTCCCCCCGCTCTTCTCCTTCCCCGCGGTGTACTGCTGACAAACCACCGCTGTCTCTTTCTCTTCTCTCTCTCTCTCTCTCTCTCTCTCTCTCTCTCTCTCTCTCTCGACTTTGGGGGGGAACGCAGACATCCCAGATTTCTCCACCCTTCCATCTGCAGGGGGCCAGCCCGGTTCCAGTCCCTTCACCCTTTGGCCTACCTCAAGCTGGGCCGCATGGCTTCCCCTCCCCCACCCAGCCACGGGCCGGGCAGGGGAGAGTCCTGCACTGTACCCTGACTGGAACCAAAAGAGAGAGTTCTCCTGGGAATTCTGCTTTTAACCCCTCTCTGTTCTCAGAGGCGTGTCCATCCTCAATTGGTCACTCCAAGTGTCAATATCCAACCCTGACCCCTGACTGGATTGACCTCTTCCTTCCGAGAAAATTATTTTTCCATGTCAAACCACAACTGCTAACTTTATTGATCATATGGGTTGATTTCCTGCAGGCTCTTCTGTGTTTGATTGTGGATTATTGGAGTTGAATATAGTAATAGTGTAGATGAACCAGTAAAAGATTTCTATTAATCCTAACTCTAAGCAGACACATTCTGGAAGATAGCATGTCATGTAAGCTGCTGTATGCTAGAGCAGTTTTGCTCTAACTTCTAACTGTTCACTTTTTCTGTACCTCCTGGCCTGCCTTCCTTCCATATTGTCCTGAGCTTCATTGTAACCTATGACTGTTGCAGTCACTTCAGGATACTGTTTGTCTTTCTGTAGGTTATGAAATATGCTGTCGGCTTTGATAGTTTGAATATTTATAGAGAGAACAGGTTAGCAATATAAAATACTGTTGTCCTTGGTTGACTGTATGATGCCTTTATCCCCAATCATCTGGCCTGTTTATGTTGAATAATAAGTTCTACACCTTTAAGACTTGTTCCAGGAGTAAAGGGGCGGGGGGAAGAAGCACGCAGTTTGTTTTTAAGAACTGCACTCCCTCCTCCATGTTCCTGCTCCTGGACTGTGTTGTCTGCGGACAGACAGACAGCGAGACAGAGCTCTCCTTTGCTTTTTCCTAGTTAGTTTTAGCTAGCTGAGGCAAAGAAGTTCCCTGGACTGTGTTTTTTTCCCTTTCTTTGGACCTGCTCTGGACTGAACACCAGAAGAGCAGCAGCAGCAGCTCACACCTGTGGCCCAGCGGGCTGGGCCTGGGCTGTGGCATTTTCAGCGCCGGAGGGACTGATCAGAGACTGAGTGAGCCCAGCTGCAACCTGGGGGGATTTTTCTGAGTTTGTCTCTCTCTTGGAGTGGCAAGAAGTTTTATTGTTTAATATTGCTTAAGTTTGCTTGTTTAATAAATAGGCTTTTTCCACTTTTCTCCAAAGAGGTATCTTTCCCAAACTGGTTGGGGGGAGGAGACAATTGAATCTACTTTCCTATAAGAACCCTTTTGGGGTTCTTTCCCCAAATTTGCTCTGAACCAGGACAACTGTTCCTATTCATCATGCTTTGTCAGGAACTGTGAAATTTCACTTTTGCATGTGCTATCTTAAGTCTTGTGCAGCAAATGTGTGGCATGCCATGCTTTTACCAGTGATGCACCCCACAATTTTGGGAATGTGTAATCTGTAACAGTGTCAGCTTTGGAGCACTGCTTTGTATAAAAGATCCATTGCTCAAAGGTAATGAGCTGACTGTGTCAATTAATATGCAGCAGGCTTTGTGCCTGCTGATTGTTCTTCTGATTTAATGTATATGATGGTCTGTCTTACAAGCAGCAGTGGTGAATATTTAAGGACACAGTACAGTGTTGGAATGCTCCCTGGCATCCCACAGCTGCCTTATGTGTCTTCAGGGCAACTATTTCAATCATTACGCAGCTTTTGGCAGTCTACCATCCTAGAGACATCTTAGGAATGTGAAAAAGAGAGGCTGTATGCTCTGCTGATATAAGTGCTTCCCAGGATCCCTCTTTGTCCACTTTCTAGAAATCTGTGATGCTGCCTGTGTCTGAGATAGATGTAACTTGTTCAGGAGAGTTGGCTCTTTTGAAGAGCTGGATCTAAATCAGAGAATGGGCCTTCTCGTCTGACACTCTGCTGCTCTTTACTAGACAAATGTTCTCTACTACAAGATTTTACTTGTGTCCGTAATCAGTAAAATGTCAAAGGCCATATTTTATCTAACAATTTTATTTGTGATAAATGCAGGTTGCTGTCCACAATTATAGTCTTATTCCTGATTTGTAGTGCTCGTGTAGCTCTACAGTGAATAGAAGTGATCTAGATTAAAAGTAACTCTCAAAAGTAAAATTTTCTGCCATGTGTGTTCTGTGGTCAGATAGCCAGTTGATTAATTTGGGTTGCTGCTCAATTACATGAACATTTCAGCCTCCCTGGAATGGCACTAAAAGCGAGGAGTTTGGGACAGGCAAGAAGGGGACAAGAACCATTAATTCCCTTCATCAGTAGCCCACACCTATGTTTATGACTTCTTGTTTCATAGCACTACTGAATTTTCCCTGTGTAGGGAGGGGAAATAAAAATACCTACTTCAGTTCTCTTCCCTTAAGCACTCAATCCAAACTTGTGACTATCAGCTAAGTTTAGTAGTTTAAATCACAACACCTATACTTAAAACCAGGAGTTTGGTGAACTTGGATTCTTTTCTTTCTGTTGCAACTTTTCAGAGGCTATTTATTTTAAAAGGACTGTAGCAGACAGTCAAACTTCAGGCTCTGTAATTAGGAAATAGAGATGTAAGTTGCTTGTGAACCAAATTCTCATAATTTCTGAGGTGCGAAATCTAGTTGTATGTCACTTATATAAAAACAAACTGTCCACTTTTAGTGATCGCAGAGCAAGTCTGTGATAGAGCTGAGCTGGATTTATGCTTCTGAGTCTGCTTTCTGTTTACAAACCCATGCTGTTTCCTTGCTTTGTTTAAATCTGATGCTGCTTTTAGGCTGTGCCTCTGACTGAAGGCTTCTTTTTCTTTGCTGTTGTGATCTTGTCCTTGAACGTTTGGTAAAAAATTAGTTGTCTCTCTTTTCCTCCTTCTTGATTTAGCAATTAAAGGTTTGTTATCCTGTAGTTGAATCCTAAAATGCTATACTGTAAAACTGTGTTAAGCATTCTGTGTTTTGTATACTGTGGAAAAGAATATTTAGTTCTTTAATCAAGGAGAGTACAGAAAACAGTGAGAAGTATTAGCTACGATGTGCTTTTCTTTAAAGTCTGAACTTTCCTCTTTTGGGGAAAGCAGCCAATTAGTATGTGCATGGAGAATGAGATTAGTGTTTAAGTGGTGGTATCTGAAAGCTAGATTGTGATGTTCAGTTTCAGATATACATGGCATTTGTTTGAAGTCTTAGGGAAGCTTATGTTTAAAAACAAACAAAAACCCCCAAGAAACAATCCCAGAAACTACCCTTTAAAACTGAATTTTTTAAGAGCTAGGCTGAAGAAGTTTAGCCTGTTTTAAGTAATGTTACAACTGTACTGACTACTTAAAAGCAAAGAACTTGTTCAACTTTTAAAAACATTTATCATTTACCTTGAATCACTTGTTCCATTTTGATAGCCTCCTTCATATAGAAAATACAGCATGAGATGTCAGTCTAAATGCAAGTCTAACAATGCTCTATCTTCTATGTGAAAGGAAGTATTCTGTATGTTTTTCCATGTTTGACACCATAGTGTTTTGAATAACCATGTTCCATATTCATATCAATTTTTTGTTTTTGTTTTCAATTTATTATGCACAGCACTTGTTCTGAAATTTGGGGACTGAGTACACCAAACACGATAGATCAGTGGGATACAACAGGCCTTTACAGCTTCTCTGAACAAACCAGGTGAATATTCTGCCCTCTTGCATCATAGAAATCTTGTGGGAGGGATTGGCTTTGGAGGGTCTGTAATGGGATGCTTTAGCTGTAAAATAGACTAAATTACTTCCTAGGCCTCTTGTGGTACAGCATTTTAAGATATTTGCTTGCCAGTGTAGAAATCCAAGTGTTATCAGCTGATGTTTTGACCAATGAAATTCTAATTCTGCAATATTGATTTTTCATGACAGTGCTATTGAAAGAATAGGAAGACTTGTTAAATGCAAGCTCTAATATGATTTGGTATTTATATTAACAACGTTGGGAAGCTTGATTCTTTAGGCCTAATCTTACAAAGTATTTAAACTGCTTTGTATGTCACAAGCTTTCAGTTAAATCTTGCTAATTGGCTCAGATATGAGCTACTAAAGAATTGTTTGTAAATTCTTCAGTAGTTAATGGCAGGCAAATTCTAAACAGGGTCTTTATTTTTTCATGTCACATTACTTGATTTGTGTATTGAGGTTTGTCTCCCATCCCATAACAATCATAAACATCTGCATTTGTGTAAGTATATGCAGCCTGTCTTAAAATTAGCAAAATTATTTCAGCTGGTAGTAAGGCAGATGAAGTCAAGAAGATAAACTGTACAGTGTTTAAAAGATGTGCATTCATGCTTTTTGCATTGCAGTTATACTGCCATGTGGATCACTTGGGCAGCTGACTGCTTATAGGCTTTTTTACAGTCCTGTGGGAATTCTTAAACTTAAAGCCATAAAGCATCTATGCCACAGCAAAGCTTTGAAATTTAGTAGTGGAAGGGACCATTAAGTGTGTGATTTGTTTTTTTTTAAACAACTCTCTTCTGCATTTAAAAAAATATATGAAGAACTCATCCTAAATATTTGGTTGGAGGTAAAGTGGCTTTTAATGAATTCTAAATTTAACTGCCACTGATTAGAGCAACTCAAATACAAGTTAAGAGATTACCGATATGATCATTTTTATCATATTTGAAGCCTTTCAACAAGAGTATAAATGTCACTAGCAGTATCAATCCACTGAATTCTGAGAATGAATAAACTACCCATCCCATGTGTGTACACTCTTGCTTAAGTAGCTAAGAGCATGCAGTCTGTAAAAACTTTTTAACATCTTTTCCCTCCAGATCTCTCGATGGACGTCTACAGGTATCTCATCGTAAAGGACTGCCACATGTTATTTACTGTCGTTTGTGGCGCTGGCCAGATCTTCATAGTCACCATGAACTTAAAGCAATTGAAAACTGTGAATATGCTTTTAATCTTAAAAAGGATGAAGTATGTGTAAACCCTTACCACTACCAGAGGGTGGAGACACCAGGTAGGAAGACTACTTCTGACTTTGTATAGCATCTGTGCATACTTGATCAGCATGTTATAAGTGAAAAAGAGAAAAATGCTTTCTCTTGCCAAAAGTACAAGATTCTTAGAGATACAGCTTTTGAAAAAAACACCCCTGATAGTTTTTAATAGTAAAATTACTGAAAAATCTTTATGAATATGAAGATACCTTTACCCTGATAAACATTTCCAGGGCCACTAGTAGTTTCCAGATGGCTAAATATGACCCGGACTTAAAAGGAGAACAGAGATGATTCACCTATGCTAATGTGGAATAGTCTTACTCAAGAGGCACTTCAGGAATCTGTTTCTACCACTAGCAGTACAATTGTAATAGTAGCAGTACTGAGATTCAGAAAATTTCAAAACATCTGAAGAAATTGTTAGATGGTTTAGATATATATTTTTTCCTTTTAGCTCACAGAAGCGTGCATTTTGAGGGTCTTACCAATGCTTCGAATTTTGCTTTTCCAGTCCTGCCTCCTGTACTAGTGCCACGGCACACTGAGATTCTAACAGAACTGCCGCCTCTCGATGACTATACCCATTCCATTCCTGAAAACACTAACTTTCCAGCTGGAATTGAACCACAGAGCAATTATATACCAGGTATTTTCTTAACTTTCACTGTAAACAGTATGTTTGACATTGTGACGCTGAAACAAATATGGTAATTTTATGCTCCTAAGTGATCAAATTAATTGCACAATGTGCCAATAAGTTAGATCTAGTTGATTTTATGTATTAGTTCCAATGAAAATACCTGAACATTGCTGTTTGCAGAACACGATCCTGTGTGAAACTATATTGCTTACTTGGTTTCAGTAGCTTATTTATGATTCAGAATGCTAATGAGTGAAAAATAGACCTTTGTATTATGTTTTCAATCTGTTTTACAAGCATATAGGGGTTGCCAAATGCTGTGTGTTGGAGATTGAGCAGCAGTTTACTACTCAATCTCACCACATGTAGTTTGTGGAGAAACTTTAAGTTGCAAATCAGTGACTTAGTGTTTTTATCTGTAGTCCACAACTGATCAAGGTCTGCTTTGTGTGTTTGTTACTATTGTGTGCACAGTTTTGTCTTTTTAGTATGAAAGAGCAACCTAACAATATTGAAATCAAAGAATTCCTTCTTTCTCTTCTTTGCCCCTTCCCTACCCCAAGACTAACCTGCTACAGTGCACCCAAAACCTGGTACTATTACTGAAACATAAAATCAGTGAACTTTGTTTCCTGCCCCAACTTTGTGTTTCCTATCCCTTCAGGAAGTTGCCTAGAGTGTAAAACCAAGTAAAGCTGAACTTCTCTCATAAATGTTTAATGCAGCTATATTATGAACAAGCTGAAAATTCAGATCTAGACTCTCTTGAAGAATAAAATTACTTGAAACTCAAATATGTGCAATATATAAATTGTATTGATGTGTCTTAAACAGGTCATTGCTTGTGTTTTCTTTAAATGTATCCAAGAATTGAAATGGCATTTAAAAATGCAGCAAATTTGTTCTCATCTGTTTAATCTGGGCTATGTTTTGCCACCTAGGGACAGCAGATCGTTAAAGAGCAATTTAAGGGGATAGAAATTGGTGCTGCTTTCCTAACTGTTGTATGCCTTTTTTAACTCAATGTGAGGGCTTTTGATACCATTTCCTATCAACTTACTGGAAAGCTACCATTTGCAAATCCAGTGCTATGGAAATGAGCTAAAGTAGCTAGGTAGTTATTTGCAGGAAGTTTGTTCAAGGTGATTGTGGGTATTCACATGATTTTCAAATGTTTATGCAGCTAACCACACCTTGCCTCCTTATCTTTGTCACTGACACCCTCCTGTTGTATTCATGGCATCTTACTTTATTTGACCTTGCTGACTTAATCTTGAACACTTAGCTAGGTTCTGATGAGTCTTCTGTGTCTTGACAGCTTGCTTCAGAGGACCATTTTCTTTAGGGGTAGGCCAAACTAAGACCGTGGTAGCTTTGCACCGCAATACTGTCTCAGTACATGGTCTACAGAGAGGTTGGTTTCACTTACAACTGGGAAGATGGCAGTCGTGAAGGTGCAGGATGGCTGTTGGGGCTGTATGTTCAATTAATACTACTACGTGGAGGAAATCTCTATTCAGACAGAGATTAGTTATGGAAAATAATCTGTGCCAAAGACTCTAGATTAGCAACTGGAAAGAGGAGGCATGGGTTGGATTGGAAATGGTTATTGACCTTTTACCATGGCTGTGGCCTTAACTATAATGAATAATTTGGAGAAGGGTGGAGTCCATTTTATCACAATAAATTCAATAAAAATGTTCAAAATTAGTATGATTTTTTTGTTATCATAATTCTTGATAGTGAAGATTTCCTATAATTGTCCTTTTAAGTTTTCATTTGAATTTTGTCACATCTATATTTAACTCATTAGTTTTACAGTGAACCAATGATAATTCTTTTGCTTAATTTTTTAAAATCAGCTGACTTAATCGAGTTTCCTGTCACTGACTTCTTTCTGACCTTAATATATTGCTGTAAATCTCAGACATGATATTTGATATAATTTGATTTTAATTCTTAGGCAAAAAGCTTTACATTTCTGCTATTTGATAATAATGTAATTAAATGTACTTAATCCCTCAGATGTCTCAGAGACAATTCTAAGGCAATTGTAGACATAGTTAGCTTCAAACACGTTCAGTAAAGCAATCCAGGTTTTGCCTTTAATATATAGAATCATAGAATATCCTGAGTTGGAAGGGACCCACAAGGATCATCGAAGTCCAACTCCATATAGGAAAAGACATTTGCCCAGTTCAAAGAAAATTATTTCCTGAAAGGCAATTGGTTAATTTATCCAGATTACAAAGTACCTTTTGAATGGAGAAAAGGAACATGCATACTCTTATGGGTTTTGAAGATAATTCTGTTGAATTAGGCAAAGTTTCTAGTATCAAAATGCTTCAAACTTGTTTCTGAGTTTACTTTGGTTACTGAAACTCCATCTTTAAAGAAAGCTAGTTAAAAGAATAGATGATTGTTTTGATAGAGCTTGGAAGTAATAATGATAATAGAGCTTGTGCAGTGTAACTAGTTAAATAATATGGTTATTATTGAGTGAAATTTTTAGATAATGAAGGAAAATGGATTTGGGAATTGAACTGAAAAGTAACCTTCAAATCTATAAGGCATGGGAGGGTATCTGATCTGATGGTTATAGTACATTATAGTACATTAAGACAGCTCACATGATAATTTTTTTTTGTGAAAGTGACCAGATATGTTTTTTTTTTCATTTGTAATTCTACTAAATGTGAAAGCTGTTGATCACAATTGCAAAACTGTTACTTATTCTAGTAAAGTATCTTGTCTTAAATTGAAAAGACAAGTATTATCTGTTAATTATATAACACATTTGAACAGTTGACTGGCATAAAAGAGATTATACATTTTGCATAGACAATTAAGGCAGGTAATGTGTTTGAAGACCTACTGGAAGGAGAAATGGATGGCAAAATGATATTCTAATAAAGTATTTAAGTATTGAATGGAGCTCATGAGGACTTTATTACAAAAATTCCAAATGCTAAATCGTACAAATTTCCTCAGTCATTGAACCATTAGGTGCTTAGTTGTTTTTTTTTTTTGACAGAAACACCACCTCCAGGATACATCAGTGAAGATGGAGAAACAAATGACCAGCAGTTGAACCAAAGCATGGATACAGGTAACTACTTTCAAAACTTGGGCTCACTAGCTGTGATCCCTCTGCATAGCAGCATGAATTCAGCCTAAAAGATGATGGCAGTTTTCCTCTGTACAACCTGGTGTTATCTGCTTAAAATATCGCTTTCAGTCTTTAGTGAACAAATTAATATTTTTTTAAGGGAATGCTTCAAAAACATTCTGTGCCATATTAAGTACATTACATTTGTTTTGTAATAAAAACATACAGGTCTAATTAAGTCTTCATCAGATTTTAATAGCTGATTTGTTTTAACCATCCCCAACTTTACCTTCTGGAAACAGGTTCGTTGAAGCAATGTGTCTGTTAGCCGAAACAAGTTACAGACTCTGAATTTTGAGAATCTGTCTCTTACCTCTGGAACCTTATCACTTCTGCCATGTTTCAAAACAGTTCTTGTATAGAAGGGTCAATGGAAAGAGTAGTAGAAATATGAGGCATCTGTGCCTTTGTATGAAAGAGTTTCTAGATAATGTGGTTGGCTTTAGACTGTCAAAGAATAGTTAATATGCTGAATAAGAACATCCTGCTATCTGCTGGCAGACTTGAATGTATTTGGTTAGCTAACGTTAGCAATCTTTTTCAGTTAGTTGGAATCAACTGCACCAGTTTCCCAAAGAACTGCGATATTTTCCCACTATGTGATAATGTCTACCTTAATTTTAAAAGCCTGATATCAGCAATCATTGTAGGAACGATTCTGTGCAAAGCCTCTTTGTATTTTGTCTACAAGTGCACAAATTGTGTTGGGGAGTTCATGTTTTTCTAAATTTTTTCCTTCCTTCTTCCAGGAAATAATAACCTCAAATGAGGAAATCCAGGTTGTTCTTCTAGAGATAAACACTCTCCATTGAGAATAGAGGCAATATCTTGCTTGTTTCATCCACTTTTTCTTAGCTTTTTTTCCACTGAATTTGGGAAGAAGTCACTACCTTCTCACTGGGCTGAAGCACCTCTCTTATGAAGATAGGCTGAGAGAGTTGGGGTTGTCCAGCCTGGAGAAGAGAAGGCTCCAGGGAGATCTTAGAGCACCTTCCAGTACCTAAAGGGGCTACAGGAGAGCTGGAGAGGGACTTTGGACATTGGCATGGAGTGATAGGACAAGGGGGAATGGCTTCAGACTGATAGAGAGTAGGGTTAGATGGGATATTGGGAAGAAATTCTTTCCTGTGAAGGTGGTAAGGTACTGACACAGGTTGTCCAGAAAAGCTGTGTCTGTCCCATCCCTGGAAGTGTTCAAGGCCAGGTTGGATGGGGCTTTAAGTAACCTGGTCCAGTGGAAGGTGTCCCTGCCCATGGCAGGGGGATTGGAACTAGATGATCTTGAAGGTCCCTTCCAATCCAAACCATTCTATGATTCTGTGACAAGCATATAAATAAAGTTGTGTTCACAGAGTGTGCATGAAGTGAAAGCTCTGCCAAATACAACATTAAGATGTTAATTAGGTTTATGAGGAGGGGTAAGGTCCCATGAGTCTGGAAAATTAAATGCAGTCTTAATTCACAATTAGTGTGTGATATGCTGGAAAAGTGGTGTTAGTATTTCTGGGGTTTCTTATTCCAAAGGATTTAAATGTAAAACTATATCTAGATAATGGTTATTCCTACTTATCTGAACTAATGAGAGTAATTTGCTCTGAAACAATCTGTATTGCTTCAACAGGATCTCCAGCAGAGCTGTCTCCTAGTAGTCTTTCTCCAGTTAATCATAGCCTGGGTAAGCTGGAAATTCTTGTAATTGTTTCTCTGTGTGATGACTCTTCTTTATGTATATATTACATTAAAACTGAAAACATACTTTAAAAAAATTAGGAACTGTATTAGGAGGAGACTATTGGGTTGGCTTCCTGATGATAAATATAATAGGGCTGGGTAAATAACTTCTTAACTACTACTCTATTTCTGTAACTGTTGAGTTCCTAGCAAAGAGAAAGAATAATATGGTTGTGTGTGCAGGACTAGCATTTATAAAATAAATATTTTAAAGGATGCTATCCAATCCATAGTGCTGGCCAGACTTGCTGACTCCCTTGTATATATGTTCTGCTACTCTTCTCTTGTACTGTTTCACCTGTAACTGCAACACAATCATTGCTTCCACATTAGTTGCCCACCTGCTTTGATCAGGTGCCATTGCTGTGTATTTGTATAAATGCCTCAGGAAGATCCGATTCCCCTGGGTTTGTTTAAGGAATGATGATAGAAAAATGCTGTTCAGAATGCTTAGTTAGTAATGAGGGTAGGTAAAAAGGGGAAGCAGCTCAGGGAAAGCTGAAGATGCACAGGGAAGATATTGAGCTCTCATAAGGACCTTAGAACTGCTTTTAGATAGACATGGTATAATATCTAGTGTAATATAAGAAAATATTATTTTCATATTAATATTTTTTCTTTGTGTGGTTCAGTGTTTGATAGTTTAATCTTTTTTTTTTAACATTGCCAAAATGTAAGTTATAGAAAAGCAACAGAAATGTCTCAATATCTGGCACTCACAGCATCATTAGTTTAATAATTTTGCCAAGCAAAATGCAAGTACTGAACTAAATGAGCTGTGGTCAGATTAGATCACCCCCTCTTCCCCTCCTTCCCTTCCTTCTTCCTTTGTGTGAAAATCTAAATTCCATTATGTTTACTGGAGTAGGTAAAAATGAAAGCAAGTAAAATATAATTTGTGGAGACTAACAGCTGTTGTTTCTGGGAGAGACAAGTAGCAGGGCATATAGATTTCTTTTGAGCCTTGTCCTGGTTCAGGGCAAATTTGGGGAAAGAACCCCAAAACGGTTCCTTTAGGAAAGTAGATTCAATTGGCCCCTTCCCCCAACCAGTTCAGGAAAGATACCTCTTTGGAGAAAAAGTGGAAAAAAACCCTGTTTATTAAACAAGCAAACTTAAACAATAAAACTTCTTGCCACTCCAAGAGAGAGACAAACTCAGAAAAATCCCCCGGGCTGCAGCTGGGCTCACTCAGTCTCTGATCAGTCCTTCCGGTGCTGGAAATGCCGCGGCCCAGGCCCGGCCCGCTGGGCCACAGGTGCGATCTGCTGCTGCTCTTCTGGTGTTCAGTCCAGAGCAGGTCCAAAGAAAGGGAAAAAACCACAGTCCAGGGAACTTCTTTGCCTCAGCTAGCTAAAACTAACTAGGAAAAAGCAAAGGAGAGCTCTGTCTCGCTGTCTGTCCGTCTGCAGACAACACAGTCCAGGAGCAGGAATGTGGAGGAGGGAGTGCAGTTCTTAAAAACAAACTGCGTGCTTCTTCCCCCCTCCCCTTTACTCCTGGAACAAGTCTTAAAGGTGTAGAACTTATTATTCAACATAAACAGGGGAGGCGATTGGGGATAAAGGCATCATACAGTTAACCAAGGACATTCCACCCCTTATCCCCATATCGTCAGCTTACTACTAAAACTTATATATATATTCAAACCCTACAAACACATACATTATACATCCAATATACAGCTATACACAGACAATGGCAGTAATATTCAGCAAACAGTGATATTTACACATAGCTCTCACCCAACAATCAGATCTCCCTGAAGTACACATCGTGTTCTTCCATCTTTCTGCATTATCCACCATGTACAACCTGGTCCCTGAGCAAAGACAATCCCACGAATGGGTTTGTCTGTACTTGAGGCAGAATTGATCCACACTGTCTTCCCTAACAAACCTCTGACATGCACTACTGGGACTTTGTCTCCATCTACTATATGCAAAAGCTGAGATTGGGCAGGGCCCAATCGACTGGTAGAGCCTCGGGTGTTAACTAACCAGGTGGCTTTTGCCAGATTCTGCTCCCAATTTTTGAAAGATTCCCCACCCAATGTTTTCAAGGTGGTTTTTAACAGTCCATTGTACCTCTCCAGTTTTCCTGCAGCTGGTGCATGGTCGGGAATATGGTACACCCACTCAATACCATGTTCCCTAGCCCAGGTGTTCAAAGGCTGTTGTTGAAATGAGTCCCATTGTCTGACTCAATCCTCTCAGGGGTACCATACCTCCAAAGGATCTGCTTCTCAAGGCCCAGAATGGTGTTACAGACCGTAGTATGAGGCACGGGATAGGTTTCCAACCATCCTGTGGTGGCTTCTACCATGGTGAGCACATAACGCTTGCCGTGGCGTGTCTGGGGCAGTGTGATGTAGTCAATCTTCCAGGCCTCCCCATACCTGTACTTGGACAACCGCCCACCATACCATAGGGGCTTCACCCGCTTGGCCTGTTTTATGGTAGCACACGTCTCACAGTCATGGATAACCTGAGAAATACTGTCCATGGTTAAATTCACCCCTCGGTCTCGTGCCCACTTAAAAGTGGTATCTCTACCCTGATGGCCTGAGGCATCATGGGCCCATCGTGCTAAGAACAACTCTCCCTTGTGTTGCCAATCCAAGTCTATTTTTGACACCCCTATCTTTGCAGCCTGATCTACCTGCTGGTTGTTTTGGTGCTCCTTATTGGCTCTGCTCTTGGGAACATGGGCATCTACATGGCGAACTTTCACAGGTAGCTTCTCTACCCTGGTAGCAATGTCTTTCCACTCATCAGCAGCCCAAATTGGAATTCCTCTACGCTGCCAATTAGCTTTTTTCCACCTCTCCAGCCACCCCCACACAGCATTGGCTACCATCCATGAATCATTGTAGAGGTAGAGCTTCGGCCACTTCTCTCTTTCAGCAATGTCCAGGGCCAGTTGAACGGCCTTGAGTTCAGCGAGTTGACTTGATCCACCCTCCCCTTCTGTAGCTTCTGCAGCCCGTCTTGTGGGACTCCATACGGCTACTTTTCATTTCCATTTCATTCCCACAATGCGGCAAGAACCATCAGTGAAAAGAGCGTAATGTGTTTCTTCTGCTGGCAGTTGCTTATATGGTGGCGCTTCTTCAGCATGTGTCACTTCTTCCTCTTCATCAGCGAGACCAAAGTTTTCGCCTTCAGGCCAGTTTGTAATTATCTCCAAAATCCCAGGGGGGATCAGTTTTCCAATCCGGGCGCGCTGCGTGATAAGGGCAATCCACTTGCTCCATGTGGCATTGGTGGCATGGTGGGTAGAGGGAACCTTTGCTTTGAACATCCACCCCAGCACCGGTAGTCGGGGTGCCAGGAGGAGTTGTGCTTCTGTACCGATCACCACTGAGGCGGCCTGGACTCCTTCATAGGCTGCTAAAATTTCCTTCTCTGTTGGAGTATAGTTGGCTTCAGACCCTCTATAGCTTTGACTCCAAAATCCCAGTGGTCGGCCTCGAGTCTCATCAGGCACCTTCTGCCAAAGGCTCCAGGACAAACCATGGTTCCCGGCTGCAGAGTAGAGCACGTTCTTCACATCTGGTCCTGTCCTGACTGGGCCAAGGCCTACCGCATGGACGATCTCCTGCTTGATCTGGGTAAAGGCTTGCAGCTGTTCAGGGCCCCAGTGGAAAATGTTCTTCTTGTGGGTGACCAAGTAGAGAGGGCTCACGATCTGGCTGTACTCAGGAATATGCTGTCTCCAAAAACCTATGGCACCTAGGAAAGCTGGTGTTTTCTTCTTGCTGGTTGGTGGAGACATCGCTGTGATCTTGTTGATGATATCTGTAGGAATCCGACGCCGTCCATCTTGCCACTTCACTCCCAGGAACTGGATCTCTTGAGCAGGTCCCTTTATTTGCTCTTCTTGATGGCAAAACCAGCTTTCAGGAGAATCTGGATGATTTTCTCTCCTTTCTCAAACACCTCTGCTGCTGTTTTCCCCCACACAATGATATCATCAATATATTGTAGATGTTCTGGAGCCTCACCCTTTTCTAGTGCAGTCTGAATCAGGCCATGGCAGATGGTGGGGCTGTGTTTCCACCCCTGGGGCAGTCGGTTCCAGGTGTACTGCACGCCCCTCCAGGTGAAAGCAAACGGAGGCCTGCATTCTGCTGCCAGAGGAATGGAGAAAAATGCATTGGCAATATCAATAGTGGCATACCACTTCACTGCCTTGGACTCCAGCTCGTACTGGAGTTCCAGCATGTCCGGCACAGCGGCGCTCAGTGGTGGAGTCACTTCATTCAATGCACGGTAGTCCACTGTCAATCTTCATTCTCCTTCAGATTTACGCACAGGCCAGATGGGGCTGTTGAAAGGTGAGTGGGTTTTGCTGACCACCCCTTGGCTCTCCAGCTCACGGATCATTTTGTGGATGGGGATCACAGCATCTTGATTCGTTTGGTACTGCCGGCGGTGCACTGTTGAGGTGGCAATTGGTACTCGTTGCTCTTCTACCTTCAAGAGTCCTACTGCAGATGGGTTTTCCGATAGTCCAGGTAAGCTGTTCAATTGCTGGATGCCCTCTGTCTCTACAGCTGCTATCCCAAATGCCCACCTGAGTCCCTTTGGGTCTTTGAAATACCTCCTTCGAAGGAAGTCTATGCCTAAATTACATGGGGCCTCTGGGCCAGTCACAATGGATTGTTTCTTCCACTCATTTCCAGTCAGGCTGATCTCAGCTTCCACTGAAGTAAAGTCCTGTGATCCCCCTGTCACACCAGCAATAGAAACATGTTCTGCCCCCACATATTTTGATGGGATTAATGTGCACTGTGCACCAGTGTCGACCAAAGCTTTATATACTTGTGGTTCTGATGTGCCAGGCCAGCGAATCCACACAGTCCAAAAAATACAGTTTTCCCTCGCCTCTACCTGGCTAGAGGCAGGGCCCCTCTAAGCCTGGTTATCCTTCTTTCCTGGGGCATATATCTTGGAGGTTTCTTCAAGGGGTTTGAAAATATTGTCATCATCATCATATACGGCAGTTTGATTATGGGTCACTGGAGCTGCTTCCCTTTTGGTGAAAACTCCTTTCGGAGTCTTGCCTCCCTTCAATTCACGCACCCATTGTGCCAGAGCACCAGTAGGTTTCCCATCCCATTTCCTCATATTTTCTCCACAATCGCGCAGGAAGAACCACAGCTCAGCTCGTGAGATGTACCTTCTTTCCCCGTCTGGGGAACGTCTGCGTTGGGTACCAGGACCTCTGATCTGTATTGCTGAGACTTGGAGAAAACCCCCTTTCATCTCCTCCCTGAGTTTCTTATGATTCTTCTCTATCTTGTCTTCTAGTTTCTGCAGACGTGTTTCCACTGCTGCAATTCTGGCATGGGTTGGGCCATGTACGGCATCTGCACATGCTCGGAGCTTCTTTGCCATATCGAGCACAGTCTCCTCACCCTCATCTCGATTCATTATTGCTACAGCAGAAGCGTATTCATGTGGCCCAAGCCTTACAAGTTTTTGCCACATCACGGATGTACACGGTACCAAGTCTGGGTTTACAGTCTCTACATCATCCGAAAAGACAATCTCTGCCACTGCCATTTCCCTCAAGCGTTGTATTCCTTGTTCTATAGTCTTCCACTGGGTTTGCTGCATGTAAAGATCATCTGCATACAGGTATCTTTATGCTACACTTTCCAGAACCCGTGCCCAGAGGCTGCGAGGGTTAGCCGCTCTCATCATTCCTTGGTCATTGACAGGATCATGTGACAGGGATCCTAAATGTCTCGCTTCACTACCATCCAGAATTGTAGCCTCGCCTGCAGCATCCCAAAGACAGACCAACCAACTAATTACAGACTCATCAGGTCGTCGAGTGTAATCCTTTTTTAGGCCACGAAGGTCCTTCAGGGAATAGGACTCAGTAGTGGCTTCTGATCCTGCCTCAGTTGCCCTAACTCCAGCTTTTGTGTCAGTAATTATCTTTGAGGGTCCTTCTCCTGGATCATCATCATCAGTCCCTGGCCGGTCAGTTTTGCTTTTCTTCTTTCCCGCAGCGACTGCCAGTGGCTTAGGGTTACTGTCTGATTTAGCTACAACCTGAGTAACTGGGGTGTTGTCTGCAGCCTGAGTGACTGGGATAGCTGCTGGTTTATCTCCCTGCCCCCCTGCCTCTGTCTGCCAGCCTACAGTATCTAGCAGTGTGCGATAAGCATAAGCCAAGGCCCAGCTTATTGCAATGATCCTTTTCTCATTAGAGTCATCATGGCACTTCTCTTTCAGGTATTTCCCCACCTCAGCTGGGTTCTGAATTTGTTCACGTGGAAAATCACACTCTACAGGGTCAGAAAATTCCTTCAGGGTCTGGCCCATATTTTCCCATTCTCCACACCACTCAGGATTTTCGACAACTGGGTGAGGGGTTTCATCAGCTCCTGTGGACATCTCAGCCTTCACTCTAGAGAAGCTGCAGGCTGTATAAAGGAAGTTTACCAGAATAGATACTAGAAAGATGGTCTCTAACATTCAGGGGAAACTGAACATTTTTAAAAAGTGACATAACAAATTCAAAAGAGAAGAAGGAAAGGAGAGGCTGGAAAACCTCATGCCCTGCTCCTCCTCTAACAAACTGGGTGAAATTACTAATAAACCCCCAGAACATACTACTGGAACTAGGATGCAGGGTAGGACAAAAAAACCATAAACTATACATATCTTGAACAGACTCCAGTATCTTTACAAGCACCTTATAAATCACTATCACCAAGCCCAGCCCAATAGCTATTTTAATCCGTGCTCTTCTACTGTAAAAACTACGTGTAAGGGACAAGAATCCTAGTGACCAGAAAAGTACTAAAACCTCAAAAAAGCCTAAAGACCAGAACCACATGAAGGCCTCCACCCCAAGAGACATTATGAATGTAAGCAACATGGCTACTGACTGCTTTAACCCACTACAAAATAAGCACAACCAACATCTATTCAGTAAAGGAATAAAGGTTTTTTCCACTTGTTTCGAGCCCCGGTAGTTGGTCGCCAATAAATGTATTTGTCCTGGTTCAGGGCAAATTTGGGGAAAGAACCCCAAAAGGGTTCCTTTAGGAAAGAAGATTCAATTGGCCCCTCCCCCCAACCAGGTCGGGAAAGATACCTCTTTGGAGAAAAGTGGAAAAAACCTATTTATTAAACAAGCAAACTTAAACAATATTAAACAATAAAATTTCTTGCCACTCCAAGAGAGACAAACTCAGAAAAATCCCCTGGGCTGCAGCTCGGCTCACTCAGTCTCTGATCAGTCCCTCCGGCGCTGGAAATGCCACGGCCCAGGCCCAGCCCGCTGGACCACAGGTGCGATCTGCTGCTGCTCTTCTGGTGTTCAGTCCAGAGCAGGTCCAAAGAAAGGGAAAAAACCACAGTCCAGGGAACTTCTTTGCCTCAGCTAGCTAAAACTAACTAGGAAAAAGCAAAGGAGAGCTCTGTCTCGCTGTCTGTCCATCTACAGACAACACAGTCCAGGAGCAGGAATGTGGAGGAGGGAGTGCAGTTCTTAAAAACAAACTCTGCACTTCTTCCCCCCCCTTTCACTCCTGGAACAAGTCTTAAAGGTGTAGAACTTATTATTCAACATAAACAGGGCAGACGATTGGGGATAAAGGCATCATACAGTCAACCTAGGAGAAGCCTCGAATTCTGTATTAAGCTTGTTTTTAAATTTTTTTTATAGACTTGCAACCAGTTACTTACTCGGAGCCTGCGTTTTGGTGTTCAATAGCATATTATGAATTGAATCAGAGAGTGGGAGAAACCTTCCATGCATCCCAGCCTTCCCTGACTGTAGATGGCTTTACAGATCCATCAAATTCAGAACGATTCTGTCTAGGTTTGCTTTCCAACGTAAACAGAAATGCTACAGTGGAAATGACAAGGCGACATATAGGTAATTATCTCTGATCTTTAATTTCATTTTAGACATTAAATTATCTGGAATGATCCAGGTAGGATGACCACATCTGTGTTTTGGGTTCCTTTCCCCCTTGTGCAGCCAAGCCATAGAACTTCTCTCTTGGGCCTTGCCAAGAGGAACTTGATCTCTCTTGCTATGGACAGAAGTGGAAAGATAAAGAGGTCACTGCTTCTGAAACTGAGGAGAAATATAGCTGCTTCTGTTACCACAGCCTGTTTCAATTGGGAAAAGATGTAGTGATAGCTACAGCTGAAAGGATCTCCATTTCCTCGATCAGTAGTCACTGAGATGATGGCAGCAGCAGTCACACAACTGTCAGGATGCAAGTGGCACAGGAGGAAGCCACTCAACTATAGGGGATTTCTGTTGCTTATGTTGCTGTTCTCTGCCTTCTGGAAAAAGATGACACATCAAAGTATCCCAAGGGACAGGTTTTTGGCTTTCAGGCTCTTCATTGGACTTGCTCTGCCCTAGGTAGCATTTATAGTCAGAGTTGCTTATAATTGAAATTTAAGCTTTAATTGCAAAATATTAGCATGTTGCTTAGTTTATTCTAATTTATAAAATGCAGAATGAGCATTGATAGCACTCTAATGCTTTTCTGAAATGGGAGAAGCTACAGTTGAGATAACATGCTGTTTTTACATTATTAAGATTTTCTTTGTAATGGTTAGTAAAGAATATTGTTTTCTACAATGTTTTGGCAATGAAGAGAGATGGGGAAGACTGATTCGGTGATCAGAATCCGATATATTGTGGTATACAAATGCTTGTATACTATTTTAGGGAGACTAGTAATGTGTAATACAATGATTTTGTTAAAATCACATGCACAAACTTATGCATATTACAGCATCTCTTACTTGCAGAGTTTAATAAGATTTTCTTTTTCTGGTAAACCTGTCTGATTTAATCTTCTTGCAATCTAGATCTAATTTTCAAAGTTCTGTTTGCTTTTGCCAAGGTATTTTGTTTATCAAATCTCTTATATTAATAAGGTCCAAAGTCTATCATCTGTCTTGTGTCCCCCAACATCCCAACAACAATGCAATGTCTTGGCTTTAGGTTCTTCAATAAAGTAGACTTTTTTTTTCTGGATTCTTTTATTTAGCAACATTTATGAGGTTTTTTGGTTTGATTTTTAGTAAAAATTTCAACTTATTTAATAGAACCTTCTGATTGCCTGTATGCCAAATCCGAATGCTTGTCTTATAAAAATTTAGATGTGCAGAAGCCCAGGCTATACCTGTGCTAACTAATCAAAATTATCAATTATGAGGAAAAGCAAAAATGTAAGGAACTTTCACTTTTTTTTAATGGAGCAATTCACATTTTGTTTTAAAAATTGTTTTAAAGAAAAGGGGAAATAGAAACTATGGCCTTTAAAGAACCTGTTAATTATAAACAGCTTTTTTTGAGAGCTCAATTGTACATTACTTATCTTCTGCTAGAAATAAGCCATACAAGTTTTTTTCCACTCAGAGAGAGAGAACGAAACCACAATTTAAAAGTGAACAATAATATTTCTTATGGGTTTTTTTTCATAATAGGGCTGAATGAAGTCCTGTTGATTTTGTTCAAGTACTACAGAGAAAGGGGTATGTAGTGGGTTATGAAATAGTATGGGTGGATGTAGGCAAAGAGTGTTGAAGTGGTACACTGTGTTTTCATTTTTTGCCATAGTGGCCTGTGCTGCTTCATATACAACACTTTAATACTAGCACAAGTTTTAACTCTGTTGAACCTAATATTTTTATTTTGATTCTGGCATTTCTTTAAGTAAAACATTATTTGGTAATGAACACGGCTTTATAATTTTGATTTGGTTATAAGCCATTTCATGGCTAGAAAATTCTATCTCACTCTTGACCAAAAATTATTCTGCTTCTCCTTCAAATATTTTGAGATTGTTGGAGGAAAAATGCAAGTTAATTGTGTTCTGCTCCTGCTACAGCTGTCAGCCCAGCAGTGTTGTTCTGTAGATAACTGATTTCTGTTTCTGTTATAAAGAAAAACCTTGGCCTTCTCTGAAACAAAATCCTCTCGTTTGTTAATCTTCTTGGGTTATATAATAACTAGAGTCCTTTTGAATTTTGCTACAGGAAGGGGAGTACGTCTCTATTACATTGGTGGAGAAGTTTTTGCTGAGTGCTTAAGTGATAGCGCAATTTTTGTTCAGAGCCCCAACTGTAATCAAAGATATGGCTGGCATCCTGCAACTGTGTGCAAAATTCCACCAGGTTAGTAGCTTACTAAAGGTCTTGTGTAAAAATATTCAGTGAATGTATTCACTGGACATTTGCTTTCCTTTTAATAGTTTCTTCATAGTTTTGGGTTTCTGTGTAGCAAACACAAATATTCATTGATTGATTGTACTCCTTGGACTTTTTTTCTTTCTAGGATGCAACCTAAAAATCTTTAATAACCAAGAATTTGCTGCTCTTCTGGCTCAATCTGTGAATCAAGGTTTTGAAGCAGTTTATCAGCTTACTAGAATGTGTACCATAAGAATGAGTTTTGTTAAAGGATGGGGAGCTGAATACAGGTAAAAAACTTTTGGTTTTCATTTTAAAGTTAATTTTTCTTCTTTCACTAATGCACTGTTTCTGTCTGGTTTGAAAGCTGTACCTACAGTCTTCTTAGTGCTACTGTAGACATGCTGTCTGCAAGTTGGACCCCATATTTTCCTTTTTCTCCCTCCTCAGCTATTGAGTTTTTAAGTTATAAAGACCAGAAATTGATTTTAGTATTACAGTCAGCTGTTGAGCAAGGAATGTTGTCAAAGTTGTTTCCTCACTTGGTTCTGCTTGCTTGCTTATTATGGCAAAATCACTGACAATATCTAGAAGTTTCACAGTTTGTGCTGTGAGATTATTTGCTGTTTGTTAGATGTACAGCAATTTTGGTCTCTGTCCTGGTCTGTGTGGAGTATAATGCATTCATTAGGTTGTGGTGAGGGATGCAGTTGATAGTATCTGACAGAAAGAACTGAAGTCATTTGGAGTGCATTCTGCAGAATGAAACAGCTGGAGAACATGCATTTAAGGGTTGACAAATATTTTGGAACTTGTAATGGAAAAGCTTTGTGGGAGTAAGATGACTGTGTTTATGTAGTAAAACTGCTAAATTTTTTTGAGTGGAAAAAATAGCCTTTTATCTGCTTTTTTAATAGATTTGAATTGTATTCTTTATTTAAACAAAATCTTTAAACCTCTCTATAAATTGTCCCCTGAAAGAATGAAGTCTGACATATCAATACCCTATTGTAATACATAGTCACTTTTAAAAAATCCATATAATTTCTGAAGTTCAATAATGGTGTGTAGGTTCCACTGTGAATCTTGGGGGTTTGTTTCTTTTATCTGCTCTTGAAATATACACATGTAAATAGCAGCATCAGTATGTGGGGGAGGCTTCTCAGATAAATGAAGCCAATTTTGTAGAAGTCTAATTAGAGGAAATGAGAAATTTGAGTAATGAAATAAATTGATGCCTCTTTGTTAGTAAGAGATACACAAAAATAACATAGCTCAAGTTTAAAGAATTATTGGATTTGTCAGGAAAATTAATCCACAAACATCAGAGATTTACGTCCAGAAAGGAGACAGAGGAGTCCTTTTACTTTATTTGAATAAAGGGAGAGGCCATGGGGCATTCCCCTGGGGTCTCTCAAATTTTTGGAGGATGCAGCCTCCTTTTTATCCTAATTTCCTGTCCTCATTTCCCTTCTCTCTTTCCCCATTGGCTCGGGTACTTGAGAAGTACAGACTTCCCAAAACACCTGATACCGAAGATTTCCCTCTAATGTATAACCTTCCTTTTAAAATTTTTTATTCTTATGGAATTTAGGGGTTTTCCCCATTGTTTCTTTCATCTTTCAATATCTAATTTCATTTATCCGCAAACATACAGTTTGTAAAGGCAAATATCTTTTTCCATTCATTAATCAGTGGAATCCTTCCTATTGTTTCTTTTATCTCTCAGTGCTAGTTTTATCTACCAGCCGACACACAGTTTGTTTGTAAAGACAAATCCCTTATTCCTCTCAATCCCTTGTCTTTTATTTTTTTAAAATGTCTTTACAAACTTTAGTTATCATTGACTTAATTTCCTGGTCCTGGGTCTTTTTTGGTTTTGCAATTATTTGCAGTGACATCAATTTCTGTCCTTTTGTAGCCATCTCTGGATCATTAGGCAAGGCTACTACCTTCATCCCTTTGATCACATGTTGAATAAGTTGTACTAAGCAAGGGATCATGCATGGTAAAAAGATTAGAGTTGCTACAGCATATAAGAGGAAGCAAAGCATTTGTTTAACCCATAGTCCACCTCTCAGGGTCTGGGAGTTGGGATGACCCCAAGATTGTAAAAATCCTTGTTTCCCAGCCCGTGCAGCCAAAGAAGGAGTCTGAATGCGTAGGATTGGCTTCTCAAGGTTGTTTATTTTTCCTTATCTATAACATTCTTTCTCTGATCTGCTGAGTTTTGTCTAGCAGGTCGGCCATGGTATTCTGTCCCCAGTCTCAGGTGGTGTTTACATTTTAGACTCAAAACTACATGTACTATGTTTACAATAATGTGCCAATATCTATCACTTATGTTAGACAGTGTGTCTCTACCTTAAACCAATAGAAAAGTGTCACCATCACAGCAAGACATGGAGGACAGGGAGAAGGAGAAGAGGGCCAGGACACACCCAAAACCCTCCATCTTGTCCCTTTGAACCCCATTCTAAAAACCCCAAAATTCTACTTTTTCACCCTGTGTTAATTTAACTATCACAATACTCAAACCCTTGTGGCTTGTATATCCTCAAAGTTGGCAGTTTTTTCCATGGGCTAAAATCGAAGCCACAGGTGTTTTTGACTTCGTGCCAAGGTCTCCAAGCCCCCTGCCAGGGTCTAGAGACAGCCAGGGCAGCCAGAGGGATGTCCTGGACTCCGACATCCACCAGGTAATCATGAAAATATGTCCCATTCCCATCCTTTCCATGTTTGGACCGATACATGAGCTTTCTTATTCTTTTTGTTATTTGTTTCACCACCTTTCCATTGTCATCCATTTGTAAACAGCAGTTTGAGTAGTTTAATTTGCCACACACTCTCCCTTCTTCTGCTAATAAATAGTCTAATACCATCCAATGTTGAAATAGTGCATTTCTCATCCGAGTAGATTGGTCAGCAAGGAGGTCGATAGCTGCACATGTCTGGTTCATTATTACTTCAAAGACAGCTTGTAACCTAATTATCCAATTAAAATTATAAATGAGTTCCCTGGCACCTGATATTAATTCATTAGGATTCCATGTGGCTGGTCCATTGTGTTGTATAATTCATTCAAGTGTCCATTCATCTTCACCCCACTTTTGGGTGCTCCCTCCAGCCAGGGATACATCAATTGACTGCTTTTCTCTAATTAGATTATCATATACCTTGATTCTTAACTGATTCCCCTGAACTTTTGGTAGCAGAAAGAACAATGGTCTAATATACCCTACATAACATATCCATGACCAGTTTGGGGGTAACCTGCAGTAAGCATATTGGCCACAAATCCAGTAATCCCCTTTTAAAGCCCAGGTCCTATTGGCAAAGGGACCTTTCCAATTTTCATCATCAATTGGTGGGTCAAAATACAGCTTGCTTCCTGGGCCTAGTGGTCCGCTGACTATGGCTGTCCCGCCATAAGAATCACAGTATTTGCATTTCCAAGCTCCCACATGAGGTTTCCACCTGCAGTTACATCCCAGATCTGTTTTGTTAGATCTGGACCAGAACCTATTAAAAAGGGTTCGAGTTCTGTTCCGGTGTTGCCACTTCCACTGATAGTCACGGACAACATGTGTCTTACTTGTGAAATTATCTTGGGGGCAGCTTAAAAATAAGGGGTTAAAAAACTTATCCTTCCCCACTGCTTTGCAGCCTTCAAAATCTTTTTTGTAATTATGGAAGGAACACCTTACCCAGCTAGCATTAGTGAGCTTAACATGCGTTTGATTCCATCTGCCTTGATATCTGGAACAATCATAAGGAGAGCAGTTGGGGGTCCAACAATCTAAACCCAAAGATAAAGTCCAATCACAAATGCTTTTTTCCCCATATATATTTCCTGTTCTATTTAGACAATAAATGCCTCTTTCAGAAGAATGAAGCTGCCATGGACTTCCTTCTTCATCCCAAAATCCTCTTCCATTCTGGACGTCACTCAGGATGCTAACCCACCATTTAGGCTCGACTGGGCTGGCCACTCATGGCCAGCTTTCAGATCCCCCTGGCCCTCCGCAGACCCAACAATTGCTAAGGTTAAAGGTTTTTGCTACTTCTTCTCCCAAGGTTAAAAAATTTTTTTCCCACTTTTGGCCCCAACCTAACTGACAATATAAGGGTAAGATTATTAAGAGAAACATTCTAACGGTGTAATCTAATCTCCTAACCTAATTTTCACTTTCACGTTGTCTTCCACACCACCTGTGGCAAGAGAAGGCACAGAAACAGCTTAACATAAAGAAAACAATGCCAGCGAGGATTGGCCCCCAATGACTGGAGATCCGAGAGGAGGGATGCCCACACAGACTATTTTAGCAGACAGCCTGTGGGTAGGCACACAAGGCTTCCCCCGATGTCAACACACTGGCTGCTGCTCCAGTCCACTCCTGCGGAGTGTCAGTTGCAGCTTCCCATCCTTCTCCTCCAGCTGAGATGTCCTAATCTCCGGGGCCTCAGAGACCTTGACCCGAGTGTGATGGGTCCACCCATGTTCAACTGTCTTGACAGCTGTTTCTGTGGTCAGCAACACTTGGAAAGGTCCACGCTACTTGGTCACCAGTGGTGCTTCTTTTCAATCCTTAACTAGGACCCAGTCTCCTGGCTGGATGTTATGAACAGCAAAGTCCAAAGGCTGGGTCTGTGCCAGCCAAACTTCTTGTTGAAGAGATTTCACAAGAGGCAGTATCCAGGCCACATATTGTTTCAGATATACATCACTTATCTCTACCCCGCCATTAGGCTGAGAATTACAAGGGTAAGGAATTTCAAACATCAATTCAAAGGGAGATAATTTCATATCTCCCCTGGGTCTGGCCCTTATTCTTGCCAAAGCCAGTGGCAAGAGCCGTACCCATGGCATCTTAGTTTCTATCACCAGCTTCAGGAGGTGTTTATTTCTCTATTCATCTTTTCAACCCGGCCTGAACTCTGGGGGTGTCAGGGATTTTGGAGGTTCCATTGTATCCCTAAAGCAGTCACAACTTGTCGCTGTTGTATTAGGGACGGATGAATGAAGTGACATAGACTCCTATGTTCTCAGAAGGCAAATGCGGATTTTATTAGCCATCACATTCTTTTATAGACAGTTCCAACAAAGCTGGACCTGATTGGTCCTCAATCAACAGCCCTCACATCATTGGCTAATTAGGAACAACACCCTTCTTGTAAACATCTTACAAGTAAATAACACCAGCTGCAAAGATTAAGGATTGTTTTAATTCTTTCTTTGAGCTTTCTCAGAATTCCCCAGAGTAAAAATGGGGGAGTAGGATGGTGGGTG